TAGGCTACTAGTTATTAATCTCTATCATAAATACTGGGTTCAAATATGCTGAAATCATCTTTTCTATACACTTTTTTACCACCTGGTTTTTGCTTCATTCAGTTATATGTCTTTGAGATTCACTTGTGTTGTCATGTGTATCAATAATTTATTTCTCTTCAGTGCTGGGTGATTTTTGAGGTATGGTAGTTCTGCAATATATGCCTGCATCTGCATATTTATATATATTTGAACTGTTGGCAATGGTTGGATATTACAAATAAGCTGCTGTGAACATCTGTGTACATACACTTGTGTGAAAATAAATTTTCCTTCTTTTTTCAGTAAATACCTAGAAGGAAAAAAGTCCAGATCAGAAGGTAACTCTGTGAAGCTTCCTAATATATAGCAAAATAATTTCCCAAGTGACTGTGCCATTTATAATGGTCCAACTTCAATGTTTGAGGATTCTAGTTGTTCACATCCAGTAGGCTTGGTAATACTGTATTTTAACTGTGAGTCATTCTAGGAGGTGTGCAGTGGTATTACCTTGTAGTTTCAATTTGCATTTCTGCACTCATAGAGATAAGCATTGTTCAAGTACTTATTGGCCATTCATGCATCTTGTTTTGTGAAACCTGAGTGAAGTACTTTGGTTATGCACTTGTGAGTGTGCCTATGTTTTATTGAGTTATCACAGATCTTTCTGTATTCTAGATGTAAATGCTGTATTTAATATGCTCAGTTCGTGAATTTTATTTTTAATGATGAATTTGGAAGTGCATTTTAAAAATTTAATGATGTCCAATTTACTATTGTTTCATGAACTAAACTTAAGAAATCTTTGCCTACTTCATGTATCACAACTTTTGAAGCAAGCATTTCCAACATAAGTGGAGTCAGTGGTTTGTCTTGTTTCTCATTGTTCATGCCCTTTGCCATCTTCAGATGCCCTGTCATCCAGCAGGTCAGGAATGCACCAGGATTTCCTCTTTGCAGCGGGCGTGGTGTGCCTGCAGGAAGTGGCACCCTTCAGAGGAGTAGCATGAAGGAGCCATGAAGCAGGGTTCCGTTTCTGCTGCACGGCCCTTGAGGCCAAGGTCCTGCTCTCTCATGGACACTGACCTCTGCCGACCTAACAGAGCTGACAGCGCTGCATTTGCTGTCTCCTGGCTGGAGAACTTGGTTCTCAGCCAGTGTCAGTTCAAAGAATAATTGCATAGAGCCACAGACGAGGAGGTTTATGCCTACCTGGAATAATGTGGACCCAGAGATTAGAGTGGATGAAGAAAACAGCCCTCCCACAGCAGAGCTTTGCTTCTGGAAGCATCACCCTGGAGCTGTATTTGCATACGAAGGGGTTCCTTGGTCCTGGAAGGAGTGTGGCTGCCTGGGACTCTGTAAAGACAGGGCATTCTGGTTGCTGTTCCCGGCAGGCAGGTGAGAAGTGCTGGGTGGCATGTCCTGGGTCAGCTGTCTAACCCCACAGACGCTTCTCCCCGTACAGCAGGGCTCAGGGTGAGCATGGTCCCGAGTCTTCCCCGGCAAACATGCATCCTCACCTTGGACACACTGCCTGGGTTTGTGATGCAGACACAGAGGACGCTCATTAAAACTGAACCCGAGCTTGTGTTATGTCTGCAACACAGGGTTTTCTACGTACTTAACTCATCCAAATGAGGACACTCTCACCATGGTGGCTGATATCATTAATCAGAGTACAGAGGTAGAGACTGAGCTTTCTAGGATTTAATGCATTTCACAAGGTCCCCCATCAGCGAGGGAACAGAATTCACACTTGGGTGCCCTGGACCACTCAGAAATTCTGTCTCTATTTAGGAATCCAATTTTCCCTTGGAATATTGTCCTCAGGGCTAAAAGCCAGGGCAGATCAGTACAACCCGAAGGTTTGAGTATAGGATTAGAAAAGCTGGATTGGGGTTTCACTCCTTTGATTTGCATCCTGTAGCATTTTTCTATAAGCTTGGAGTCCTGGAGCAATTTTTCTACCTTTTCCACACCCCAGTGTCGTTCTTGCTTATAAATGGGGCCATCAATAGCATCACTTCTAGAGTTGTGTGGGAGTTAGGACCAGATCCAAACACAATTATTTGGTGAGTAAGAATCATCTAACAGAAATTTGCTGTCTGGGAGGGATGGAAATTCACAGACCTCCCTTAGAGATAAGCCACATCTGCCCTGCTGCCTGTAAAACCAGTTGGACCAGCTACTTGCTCTGTTTCCTTTGTATGGGACCTGGGAATTCCTAGCATCTCAGCCCCTTCTATCTGAATTTTCTGGAAATGAAGCCACCAATAGGAGGCTTGTGAAGATGCTGCACAGTGAGCTCTGATATGAAAGGATAATTGGCAGAAATATTAATTCACCTATTTCCTCTACAGCTCTGGCTTTCCAGTCTATTCAAAATGTAACTAAACCCTCTGAATTTCCTTAGCTTTTCTTGAGCAACAAAGAATAATCTTGCAAACTGTATTTATTTTGTCTTATTGTAAAAGCTTCCTTCCTTATGCTAACCAACCGCAGGGCTCTGGCAGGAGGGCAGTGGCGGAGGCAGACGGACTGCAGTGGCAGGAGGATCCTGCAGACTGGGCAGAGGCAGACAAGGTGGGGGTGATGTCCCTGGGCGGCATGGAGCTGTTTGTGATTGGGGAAGTGGGGAAGAGCGTCAGGGTGAGCCCACTGACTGGCCCTTCTCAGAGGACTGCCCATCAGGAGAGAGCTGCTGCTGTCCTGCGGCCCTGGACCCTCACTCTCTGGGGCCAGGCACATAAGGCTAGCAAGCTCTGGGGTTCAGGGTTAGAAAACCCTCTCCTGGAATGTACCCTGAGCTTGGCCTCCACCTGGACCAGACGTGATTGCTTTTATATTTCACATATGAACCTATCCCACACCTTGGAGGGAGGCGGAGGTGCTCCTTACTGGAATCATCTCAGAAACCCAACTAAGACAAAGGACTCTACGCTATGAATAAAGAGCCTGCATCCTGTTCCCCTCTGCCCCCCTCAAAATTTTGTTCACAGGGTGAGAGCATGGTCATGCTTCACTGTTGGTAATCATGTTGATTGGACGAGGATCCCCGAAGAAATGTGACACGTGCTCTGGAGGATGGATGCTGAGAGCCTGGACTTCGCCACATCCCACTGACTCATACAGGGATGCCATGTCTGCTTAATTTCAAAGGTGCATGGAAGGAGAGCAGTGGAGGTAGCAAGATAATTGCATATGTATTTTTCCTTCTGCAATTGTATTTATATATATATTTGCATTCATGTGTGTGTATTTATATGCATTTTTTTTCTTTCTGCAAATATATATATATATATATATATTTATAGTGTTCTAATAGGCATGATAAATCCAAAAGGCAGTCAAAAACACATTGCTGTGATCATGATTCATTGATCAAATCAGGACTCTAATTTTGGCTCCAGTTAAAAATAGAGTTCCATGGAGAAACACTGCATTGTGCATTCCGATCCATTTTACCCAGAATGTTTCTCTCTTCCATCAAGTAATAGATCATACAGTGGGAAGAATGTCCTGTTTAAAAATAGCAAATGCTCCCTCTACTTTTCTCCCCCTTCCCCCTGTCAGGTCTCATTTCAGAAGAGAGACATCAGTGGGTCCATGCCTGTATCTAACCTGCTCCTCCCCTGAGATGTCCCTCATCCCTGGGAGCAAATGGGGCAAGACTGGGTTATCTCTGGGCACCGAAGAGCTGCCAGACCCAGCTGGGTGGACAGAGAGCACTCTTGTGCCAAAATGGATTGGGTGCCTCTGATGCCAAGCAGAGCATGAGAGCCAGGGCGACAGTGATGGATGCTACCTCCAGGGCTCCAAAGCCGGGTAATGGCCCAGGGAGGGGAGGGGGCTGAGAAGGAAAGGGAGGAAAGGCAGCTAAGAGCTAAGTGAGCACCCAAATGCCTTCACCTCCCACAGTAAGAGACCTGCCTCTCAGCATTTCATTCTGGAAGTCCTGTACCCTGCAGCTGGAGTCACACAAAACACAGCCTCTACCTCATGCTGGGCAGTCGGGTAAACCAGGAGGCCCAGACTGCTCTGCTCTTCTGCCTACAGGCCTGTCTACTTTGTGAAGTTCTCACCACTGAACTCTGAAGAGGTCTCCTTCCTTACAGTGCCATGTCCACGTGCCGGTGACTAGTGATCAGTTTTCCTCTCAAATATGCAAATGCCACCCTGGCCCAGTCTTGCCAATTTCTCCTGAGCTATCAGGCCTGTTGCTATGGTATGAATGCATCTCCCAAACTTGGGTTGAAATCTCTCAGTGCTTTGAGAATTGAAAGGATCCTTGGGCCAGGGATTTAGCTCAGTGGTTTCACCCCCTGTTGTGCAAGCACAAGGACCCAAGTTCGATCCCCGGTACCAAAAAACAAAAATAAAAAAGGAAAGGATCCTTGTGTCCATTTATTGTCATTTGTTTGTAGCACCAAGTTACAAAAATTGGCTCACTTTAAAATTTATCTAGATAGCTCAGCAGATGACACGACTGAAATCCTTCTTTGAACCACCACCCCCCCTCCAGTCAGCAGTGCACACAAATTGATCTCCTGTGCTTTATCAGCCTCAGGCACAGATTTAAAACTGAAGGCTCTCTGAGCTCTGAGACCTGCGAGCTCCCAGGACACATGTTTAGCCTGTACAGAATTAGCTGCATGTGTAAACACACTGCTGGGCTGAGCAGACTGCTCCTCGAGCGTGTCTACAGATTCCTGGTCACACTCACCAGCTGTTTCTCTGTAATGAAGATTCTCATTTGAAAGTAATAAGCAAGTTCCTAGGAAAAGCAGGAGAGCACATTGTATGTAGGATGGAGATGCACTAGGGAGTGTATGGAAACAAGGATGTGAGGCAATGAGGGGAGAGGATTGGACAGAGAGAGAATGACAGGCAGCACAGCCAGCCAGTCCCAGGAGGGCAGCGGAGCAGAGGCGGCTCTTCCCTCTCAGCTCTCCTTGGTTCAGACCAGAGAGCTGCCTTAACCCGGCTCAGCTGCCAAGAGTCGTCACAGCTTGCGGGGCAGCAGGGGAATGGGCAGGAGGACCTGGGCAGTGGTCACTGTGGTCATTGCAGTGTATGGGACAAGCACATTCTAACCTCCCTGATTATTTTTGCTACTTAATTTTTTCTTTTTTTTTTGGTACCGGGAATCGAACTCAGGACCTTGAGCTTGGGAGGCAGGGACGGCACCACTGAGCTAAATCCCTGGCCCATTTGCTGCTTAATTCTTCATGGGGCACCCACATAGTCAGCAAATCCCCTTGGCTTACAGTTCTCAAGATAAATTATCCTGATAATAGATGCAAAGTGTTTAGAGCATCTTCTGATAAATACCAACTGCCCAATACTCATTAGATGTTGTTAATATCGTTTACCTCATGTGTGTCTTCACTTAAGAACTAGTTACTGGACATTATCCACCTACAAAGTCCCGCAGGTTAGGAGCATACAACACTACTAATTCAGGTTAAGGACTAACTAGTTCGTTTCATTACCCGCGGAAGCCTGGAGATGCTTCAGGACAGAATAAGGGAAGTCCTCTCCACCAATTCTTCTGCTGAGCTCAGGCGCAGAGCCAAGGCATCCACAGCAGTTCTTGGTATCTTCACTTACGGGGCTACAGGACAGTCACTTGATTCTGGTTTTTGTTTCATCGGTTGGTGCCTTTGTTTTTTCCTGTTTGTATCCGGAGAAAAAGTAATTCACCAGTGTGGTTTCCCTGCTAGAAAGGGAATGGCTGCAGCATGTAGCCACCAGGTGGCGATCAAGGACTCAGTCACAAACCTTGAATGGGGAAAAAGTCCTCTGTGTTATTTCTGATACTGATAGTAATCAGTAATGATAAGCATATTATACTTTTGTTAGAGATTCTTTATGAACAATATCTTACTTAATCTCCAAAAGTTTCTGCTAGTTGTTTTAAAAAGCTAAGCACACAAATACCAAATAACCTAGCCATTGTATTTATCTCAGAGAAATGAAGACAAACATCTGTTCCAACAAAAATACACATACAAATGCTAATAAAAGCTTTATTCATGGTATCTAGACACTAAAATGCAACCCAGATTTCTTTGAAGAAAATAGCTGAGTCCATTATGATTATTCCATACAATGGAATACTGCTCAACTATAACAAAGAATATACTGTCAATCCCAAAGAGTTCCATGCTATATAATTTCACTCATGTGACATTTTGCAAATGGAAAAATTGTACAAAACAGATTAGTGCTTTCCAGAGGTTAAAGAGTGGATAACAAACTCAGTTGTATATTAGGATAAACTTTTCAAAAATATGAAATTCATAGCCATCTTCTTGAAGCAAAGAGAATGGGAGAGGGATATAATTGGAAGCAAGAACTCCACTGAGGAATCAATTACACTAATCCAGGTAGAGCTTGTGGGAATATCAACTTCAGCAGTAGATTTTGATATCTAAGAGGTATTTATTATATATAAATATTTTTATTTCTATTAAAATGTATTAACTCTGTGCTGTGTAAGCTTTCTGTCTCTGTGACAAAATACTTGAGAATATCAACTGATGAGAAGGAAAGGGTTTCTTTGGCTTCAGTTTCACAGGTTTCAGTCCATGGTCACTTGGCTCCTGGCTTTTAGCTTAGTGGCCAGGCACTGCATCCTGGTGGGAGTGTGTGGTGGGGAAAAGCTGCTCACCTCATTGTGGCCAGGAAGCAGTCAGAGAGAGATAGGAAGTGGCCAGAATCCCGTGTCCCTTCCAGGCACACCCCAATGACCTAACTTCCTTCCATGAGACCCCAACCCCTAAAGGTGCCACTACCATCCAAGATCAGGATAGGTTGGGGGTAAGCTTGCAAGACATCAGCCTTTGGGGGACACTCAAGATACAAAGAATAGCATGAATCAAAATCACCAGTGACAATTTAAAATCAGGTACATATATTTATAGTGCAGATATTCGAAAAAAAGGGAATCTATTACATAGCTATTTCAGAATATATTAAAAAGAAAACATACTAGTAAAGTACTTTCAACAGCGTTTGTATGCAGTAATAGCAGGTATAGTGATATTAAAAAGAGTCATTCATAATACATTTTAAAAATCTGTCATTTAGTTTGATGGATTTAATAAAGGTAGTGAAAAATAGTCAAAAGCAGAAAACTGTTTTCTTTAAGATTTAGAAATAACAATGGTGGGTTGTCATCATCTTTTTAAAGCACCTTAGACAGTAAAAATCTTTTAGGTAGAAGAAAACAGAATAAATGTGAGTGACGTAATTACATGGGACCTGATAGGCTGGAAGGATGGAGACGAATTCAGCACAGGAAGAGCAGGAAGTCGATTCCCTGGTTCCAAGCAGGGATGAGCAGTCTGGGCAGCAGAGATCATGATCAGATCACACTGGGCCACTGCGTGACTTCAGTCTAGAGGGGGCTTGCTGGGACACAGACTCAGAGCCCCGCTGAGCTAGGCAAGGATGGCGTAGAAGCAGAACCCAGGCTGAAGTAAGGATTACAGATTTCTTGGTGGCCAAAATAATCCCCTGGGACATTTACAGTGCCAGTTCCTGTCTCACTCAGACTTCCAGCCGACACACAATCATCTCCAGTTGAGGAGAGAAATCTGATCATTCTAGAGTAGTAAGCCCCAGTTTGCTCGGGGAAGTATCCCTGGTTACCAGAAATAGTAAAATTATTCCTACAGCGGTCATTTCCTACGAAGGAGATGTAGACTTTAGAACCAAGATACTGAAGTGAATCAAGGTTTTGTTAATGCTTTTATGCTGTCATGGTGCAATTGTAGTACATTCTGTCTTTGAATATTTGTGACAGATTAGCATTGTGGTCCCAAAATACATAACTCAGAAAATAATATTAGGCTGTGGTTTTAAAGTTGATAGGCTCAAAAGACATTCAAGTTTTAAGCGTTATTAGCATGTTTTCATTTATTTATGTGTTAGATGATTGCATTTATTTTTAAACTCTTTAAAATTAATGCATAAGAATTATACATGGTTATGGGGTACCTGCGATGTTTAAATATGTGCATGCATTATATTATGTTTACATCTGTGTAAACATATCTATCTCCTCAAACATTTAGCAAAAGCCTATCTTGAAGCTTTGTTAGAAAAATGCAGTCAGACCGTTACCTGTGGTCACCTAACTGAGAGGCAGTAGGACTACTGGTGCCCAGCTGTGACACAGCACCCACTCACCGAACTTTCCCATCTTCCCGCCCCTACTGTCTCTGATTGGAACTTTTCTATCCTTAACTGGTATGAGATCATTTTCTTTTATATCCCACATATGAATGAGGTCATGCAGCACCAGTCTTTTTGTGTCTGGCTTCTTTACCCAACATAATTGCCCTCCAAATCCATGGACATTGGTGTGTTTAGTAGAACTTGAGATCACTCTGTTTCAGAGTTTAATACATTACATTTGCAAGGACCACTTAAATATCTGTATAGTTTTATTCTCACTGGAATAACTTTAAAAGAAATGAAAACATTAAGATTGTGCTGCAGTTTAAAGTTCAGTCACATGCTGTCTGCAGACAGGGATGATTCTAGGAGCAGGGTCTTTGTGCAGTTTTGTCACACAAACACCAGAGTCACTTTCACAAGCTGGGAAGGTGATGTTAACCCAGGGGACAGCTGCCACGTGTGTGGTCTGCCATTCACCACAATGTTGTTATGTGATTCGTGATATTTAATGAACTTGGTTTCAATTGTGAAATTTATTATCTTTACAAATATAATATTAATATGTGTAATGTAAATTTAAAAGTTTGAGTTTTGAATGTTTCACTGATTGAAATACCAATTCAAAAGTAATTATGCAAATGTAGTGTCAGTCTGCACACAAGACCTGTTTGAGCCACTGAAATGTCACCATAGCCAGTGGACAGGGAAATTTCCTGAGTCAGTGGACAGAAACCATTCTTATGATGTGTGCCAGCTACACCATAAACACGAGACTACTATTAAGAATATATAAAGAACAAAATCTTATAAAGAACTCCAAAATAAAAAACAATCAAACAATGGGCAACTAAAATGAATAGATATTTCACAGAACAAAAAGTACAAGTGACCAATAAATGCATGCAAAAAAGTTCAACATCTCAGGCCATTAGAGAAATGCAATTAAAACAACACCAGGATCTTACTTTACTCCAAAAAAAAAATGGCTATCATCAAGAAACCAAACAATAACTAATGCTGATGAGGCTATTCGGAAAAAGGAACATTTCTACATATTTGGTGGGAATGTAAATTATACAGCCACTAGGGAAATTAGTATGGAGATGTCTCTAAAAACTAAAACTAGAAATTCCTATTGACCCAGTTATTCCCTTTCCAAGTATCTTCTCAAAAGAGTTAAAAACATCACATTACAGTGATACACACATATAATGTTTATAGCAGCTAAATCTTGGAAGTGGCCCATATGTCCATTGCCAATGACTGGGTAAAAAGAATGTGGTAGTTACATATAGTGGAGTACTACTCTGCCATAAATAAAGATAAATTTCAGTCATTTGTAGGAATACAGATGCACCTAGAGACCATAATGTTAAGTGAAATAAATCAAACACACAAGGTTAAATATCACATGGCTTTTCTTATATAAGAAAACCCAAGTACAAATAATTTAAATACCAAAACCAAAAATAGACAATAGGAAACAAGAAGATACAATTTTGCAAGTGGGAAAAGAATCTAATGATGGAGGAAGGGAAGGGAGAAGGGAATAAAAAAGAATTAAGATGTGTTATGTACATGTACCAACTCCTCACAATGAATGTAATCATTATGCACTGCAAACATGCACTAACAAAAGTATAAGTAATTTTAAAAATAGAAATTAGAGCAGCAAGAGAGCTCCGTCAGGTGGATCCCCAGTGGGGATGAACTAGACATCCCAGGAGCACCCTGGAGATATCTCCAAAGCATAGCCTGAATCAAGGAAACCAAGAAATGCAAGCTCTCTAGCAAACCACCAGGTGTGGGAGACTGCAATACTGATTATGCCCAAAGCAGGCTGTAAGGAGTGCAGGCTGTGAAGAGCTAACCCCACAATTGGCTTGTTTATAGAAGTGAGTCTGGCTGAAGCCTGTATGCTGAGGTCAGAGTAACTTGCACTCAAATTCCATTTCTATAACTAAAACTTTCTTACATATATTTTCTCTATTCTGTTCCTAAATCTAGAATGCTTTGTCTTGCCCTTTACAAGCCTTAGTTCCATTAATTTCCATAGAAACTGCACAGACCACATATCTTTACACGTAGTGCTACCCTTGCACATAGCTTGCCTTTACCCCAGTTGATTACCAGTAAAAACCAGTGGCTTGGACTGGCCAGCATCTTTGTTGGTTGCACCAGCATTAGTTGTCCTGATTCCCCACTTTCTGTCTCTCTTAGTTCTGCCTTTTAGTTTGTTTTGGTTTTTATTCAGACTTGCATCATACACTGACTAGGAGACTGGAGTCTACTGCAGAGGTCTCCGGTAATGTTTCAGGCGTTTCCGGTAACCAGGATGTGGGTTTAAGGTAAACACGAACACAGTCAAGCACCAGGTATGTTCTAAGACAGCGCTTGAGGAAGTGGATCAGTCACACTAGGGGGAAATCCAGTCCCTGGGAGCTTCATGGATGCAGTCATTGGGATCAGGCTGTGAAGTCTATGAGGAGAGAGGGCCAAGCATGACACCCTGATATGTACTGCCACTTCTTGGAGAGCAGGTAGAATTCTGTACTGCCCAAACCAGAAAACTCAAGAACATAAAATCTCAATTAGCACACAATTCACCTTGGCTTCCATCGACAGCAGCACTTTCAAGTAAGTTTTTCTGTTGCAGGGGGCAAAATGTTGGGCATCAAAGTCATTCAGAATCATCCAACTCAGGGGAGCTTGCATTTCTGAACAATGGTGCATCTAAATATAACTCCTTTCTTATGCTGTGCCATTATTAGTATCTTATAATAACCAGAAACCTGATGGGAGTTTGCACTTCCAGATGTGTGAGTGAAGATTAGATTCTGTTTAAAAAATGCTGCTGCTTTTCCTGTTTGGAGAAATAACTTTGGAAGGAAGATCAGCTCTCTCTGCACATTAACTTGAGCAACTAATTCTTTAGGGCTTTCTCCCCATTGGTGAAAGCGCTAATAAGTGTTAGGGTTGATAAGGCTGAATTACTGTGGGAGGCTCTTTTATTTCAGAATTCTGATATTTGCAAGTTTTTCCCAGTGTGAGCTGCTACCTAGCAAGTGGGGGTCACATCTCCCTGACCCTGGAAGTAGAAAAATTCAATGGCTGGGCTAAGGGGACCCTGTGTTCACAAAGAAGCTGCCCTGTATGAAGATGTACAGCTGGGGCACAGAAAGTGCACTGACTGCTGCCCAAGGAAGTAGAATCGACAAGATCAAGGCCTTTACCCTGGGTAGCCATGAAGATCGAATAATGTACAGATGCTCTCAATTTACAGTGGTCTGATTTGCAAGCTTTCCACTTAGAGATGGTGCAAAAATAACACACGTTCAGCTCCATAGAAACTGTACGCTAAGTTCTGAAGCTATGTGGTGTGGCCCCCTCTCAAGACACTGGCCAGAGGCAGGAGCCACAGCTCTCAGTCAGCTGCGTGATCACAGTACCAGGAGGGGAAATAGTTGATGCTGTATAGTGAACTGGGCTGCTCATGTTTTTGACACAAGTATTCAATACATTTCAGGTGTGCAGAGCTTCTGTCCTACTGCTTGCACCTGTGCTGGAATCAGAGGACAATAAGGACAGCATCGGAGGACTTCGGAAACACCTGCCCTCCTCCATGTCCCCTTGTGCAGCCACCTGCTGCTGTCATTTGGAGGAAAAACCCCAGGAACCAGTGGCCCCAGGAAATGTGTGTGTACAGAGACCTGGAGAGATTCATCTGCCCCAGCAGAGAGCTTGATCTATGCAAAAGCGTGCTGGTTGGAGGCCCCTGCAGTTTGCCCACCAAGCTCAATTCTTTGTTTTTTTTGGTCCCGGGGATCGAACTCAGGTCTTTGCGCTTGTACAGCAGGCAGTGAAGCCACTGAGCTAAATCCCCGGCCCACCAAGCTCAATTCTTTATGAAAAGAGTAACATTCTCATGACATGGATTACATATGGAGGACTAGATTTCTTGTGATGTGATAACTACAGCTTAATGGCAATAATTATAATAATAATTTCTAGGATCTGGCCTTCACTTAATTATGAAAACAGTACTTTTCTTTTAAAAGGTTAAGTGACAGCTTAATAACACAAAAGATAATTTGAACCACTCTGTAATGAAGTTTTCAGGGCAAAGATTACTTCAGTTAATGACCTAAATATTTCATTTTGAAAATTTTTCCAGAAAAAATGTGGGAAAAACTAAAGACATTCCAATTCTCACTATACTTAATAACCCTGGCAGCAGAGAGAGCAGCCAGATTTATTCAACTCATTGAGCAAACATGATATTAAGTGGTGCTCACAGAAAACATGTTAGAATGAAAACAAAGCCTTTCTTTTAATCCCACGAGATATAATGGAATTCCTGCTATAAATTAATGATTAGTGTATATATTTGATTTGACTCAAAATGCAAGGTGACAGCAAATGGATTAGCTTGACATATGTACAAGGAAATTACATTCAGTTCACTCAGGCAACCTAAACACAGAGAGTTGTTAAGAAAAGATTAAACTCTGGACAGCACAGTTCCAAAACGGCATTGATTTGACGAAATATCAGCAACAAGGAAGCACGTAGGGCACGCTGGAAACTGCCCCTCCCCAATCTGACCTTTACCTGCTTAGCTCCCACCAGATTTGGGGTCTGAACAAACCACATGGGCCCAGGATTAAAGAGCTCCAAGAGACCCAGGGCCTGGTAGAAATGAGCAATTTCATGCGTCTCTTTTTCTTTGTTCACTGAAACTTAAATGTGTTGAGGTTCCAGCACCAAAATAGCAAAAAATGGGAAGGGAAGGAGGGAGGAAGAGATAAAAAATGAAGCCTCCAGGGTGATAGGGAGAACAGCACAGCACACGTGCCATCCACAGGGGATGAAGAGGACGAACATCCAGGCTGGGCCACTGCTCAGGGCAGAATCTGAGTTCAAAAGGTCCAGAAACAAAGTTGTCAAGAGAATCTAGAAATCTGGGTATTTGTGTTACATTTCCCATTTTTAAATTTTGGTAACAAATTTAAAAAGATTTCAGCCTGCGTGTTGGGTCCTGACAATGGGCAACCTCTACACCATCTATGGGAGAGGACCTTTTGTCTTAAATGGGGGAGAAGATTCTACAAGTGGTTTCATTGAGGGGATTAGGATACTAGGCCCTACAATTCTCATCACTCTAGATGGCTATATATTAATGTGACATGACATAATATAAGATATGATATAATCCAATACATGAGGACTAATACGTAGCATTCTGTGTCCCATATCACCCTGGAATTCTTTTCCGTGGGAGGACATGGCCCAACATTGCTTTTCTTGTCCTCTGGGCCTGCCCAGACTTCTGATTTTCTTCCTTGAGTTGCAGTGACTTGTGGTGGTGACCTAGCTGCCAAGTTTCTTCTGTCTCCCTGAGTGTACATAGGAAATAAGACCAAAATATGTCTCAGCCAGATATTTGTGATGGGTGATTTTTGAGAAATATGGCAGCCATTGGATTAAGCCACCCAACACAACTGGACTCCACTCAACTGAGAAAACCTACAGGTGATGAGCTTCTATAATATCTGCAGTGGCTGCCTGGCAGAACTTGGCGTATTTGGCAATATTGTCTTTTTGTTCTGCCCACATCATTAATGCTGGGTTTAAGCCATACAGTACAATAAAATCAACAGTGGTTAGACAATTATGAAGATTTGGGTTCTAATATGGATTTCATACACAACCAGCCGTTTTCCCAGCGAACATGGGCACCTTCCTTTCTCCAGTGCTATTATGTGTAAAATCAAAAATGAAAGATAAACTAAAACATCAACAGATTTAAAACATGGCTAGACAAACTCATTGAGTTCCAAATTCAGTCAGCTACAAATCAACTGTTAATTTTTTAGCATATTTCCTGACCTGTTCACATCACTAGTTCAATATCTACATTAAAGACTACTCTGAGAATTTCAACATTTACTTTTAAAAGAATACTGATGTTATGGATATAAATAGTTAAGTGACAGACATTGACATTAGTAAGTGTTATTCAGGTTCCAAGAGTGTATTAGACAGCTTTCTCATCACTGTGACCAAATACCTGAAATAAACAGCTTAAAGGACAAAAGGTTCATTTGAGCTCACAGTTTCTGAGGATTGGTCCATGGTTGGCTGGCTCCAAGCAGAGACACTGCAGAAGGGTGATGAAGTAAAGTAGCTCAACTCATGGTGGGTGAAACTGAGCCAGAGAGGAAGGGGCCAGGGACCAGATATAATCCCAAAGTCACATCTCAGTGACCAACTTCCTCCTACTGAGCCCCACCTCCCAATAGCCTGTTCAGTTATGACTCATCAGTGGGTTAAGCCATTATGAGGTCATTGCTCTCACAATCCTATCATCCCTCCAGGAGTCTCTTACTGACCAACAGGGAAGAAAGGGAACATGGCTCAGGGTTGATTTATGGGCACAGGGTTTGAGTAGGATGCAGGGAGCCCCACCCTAGGCCCACAGTGTTGGAGCAAAGGACTTTACTACAACTTGGAGGAAGAGGTCATGTACGTCACCACTCTGTGGACACAGCCATCCTGCAGTGATCTTCATTGGAGCCAGTCAGTTTGACCTCACACTCCCTCCCTCCCTTCCTTCCTCCCTCCCTCCAGTGTACACCTTGAAGCCAGAGAGCTGGAAGCCAGTTGCAGAGCAGCTGCCCAGGTCAGAAGGCGGGAGTACAGGATGGAGAGTTGAGGGCAGGGGCAAAGAGGAGGTGTCCTGCACAGAGGTAATTCAGTGCTGCTACCAGTAAGACAATGCTGCTACAGGCACATGGACACTGCTGAATTCTAGGATCTGGGCTTGGGATCCACCACCTCTTTGCAAAAGGGCAGGGAAGTCATGGTAAAAATATGACTGCATAAAACAGGCTTTTCTGAGAATATAATTAAAATAATTAAACAAAGATTAGAAAAGGCAGTGAATTTCTCACTGTTTCATTTGGGGCATGTAGCATCATATTTACACTGACATAGCCCTACTGCTTCTCAGATTTCCCTCAATTTGAGAAGTGCTCCACTCTTGCCTAATACTCCCTCCCCTCCTCTATGACCAGTAAAAATATTGTAATGTAATATTTTTTACACTAACTCTTAATCACAAAATGGAATGTTCCAGTTACCAAAACATTTGGAGAACATTGTAAAGGAAACCAAATACATTTTCATAGTTTTCAGAGAATTATACTATATAACAATGGGCTATTATTCACTAACATGTATTGCTCCCTTTATCATGTGAGACACTTTCTGTCTAAACTTTATTATTTCTCTTTTTTCTACTGTGATCCAGAAAGGACTTCAGGCATTTGACACTGGCTTGAGACATTGAAGATGATCACAGGGTAGGTCTTGTGAGATGGGTGGGCTGAAACATGATGAATGCACAACAAAATAGTTTGAGTCCATGCCTCTTTAATTCCATACATTTGTGAGTGTCAGTTCTGGGTCAAGTACACTGTAAAGAAGTATAAGATTCTGTCTATATTAGAATTGATTTGGGTGTAAAAATCTCTACCCTACCTGTACCTCCTACTTAGTTTCAGAATCCAAAGCACAGATAATCTCAGACTGTACATTTCTTCACTGATTCTGACACTAGAACCTCCTTTGTGCAATGTCAGCCTACAAAATCCATCTTACCTAAGGGCCTTTTGTACTTTCTGGTCCTCTAGCTGAATGATTCTTTCCCCAGATCCAGGGTTCCCAAATTCAGACTTGGGGGCCACATTTGACAGTTGCCCTTTTTTGTAAATAAAGTTTTATCAGCACCAATCCACACTCACACTGAGGTGTCATCTATGGCAGCATCCGCACCATAACACCATTATGACATACTGTGTGGCCAGCAAAGCCAAGCACATTTATTGTTTGGCCCTTTGTAAAACAGTTTGCTGACTTCTGTTCCAAATCATCACATGACTGATTTTCTTTTCAACCACAAGACCTCAATCATGTGACCTTTGAGATAGTGCCTCCCCCAACACCCCAACTCCCATGAATGTCACAGGAGGGCTCTGTGCCGCCAGACTCTGATTTGTTAAGAGAATGCAGAAATCTGATTTTTAGAAGGTTAAATCCCCCTCCTCTCCCTCACACGCACATACACAAAATAAAGCCTTTGTCACCAAAATATATATTTGGGCCACATGCAGTAGCAGTGCCCCTATCTGCACGCCCTGGTGGATGGAGACCAGGGTGCTGACTATGGTAGGGCCCTGATCCTCTGTCTCCACACAGGCAGTGGCTGACATTAACAGGTACACTCTGCCCTTGGCTGCCAGCCTGGCCTCACAAGTCTCCCCAAGAGGGCTCTGGGGAAACCCAGCCCTGGCCAGGAGGATGAAACTGGTCTGACCTCTGTGGAGAAACTCAGCTTCAAGTCATCTCTTCCATGGAGCCACTGAGGGTGTTTCCTGAGCAGGACCAGTTCTCCCCACCGCTGCTCCCAGAGGACTTTTCCTAGCAACTCTGCAGCATGCTTCTGGCCATGTGTGGCTTATCCTGGGGCTATGGATCCCCTCCATGGGATGTGGTTGCTACAAAGTAAATGCTTCTTGGATGGATGAGTATGAAGCCAGGGGAGGCAGATAAAAGCCAGTCCTGCTGAGATGCGTATCTCAACCCTGCAGGACTCTACAAAGCTCTGTGTGTTCCTCTGACTCCTGCCCAGTGGCTGTCTAGGAAGACAGCATTGTTGAGAACCCATTTCTCCCTCACCACCTCGCACCTTCAGCCCATACACACATTCCCATCACCTCCACTATGCAGGAGATTCTGCCTACTTCTATTTTAAGAATAACTCATTTAAAGAAGAGCATCTGTCATTAACTTCTGGCCAGGACTATAGGGATGATCTCCTCAATTTCAGCAATTGTGCAATTTCTGTAATTGCCTAGCCAAGGAATGGATTCTACTAATTAAGGTGATATTGCATGTGGCTTTCAATTTTGAACTCATGGAAAAATGTTCTCCATGGGGTCCAGCCGAGGTGTGTCAGCTGGTTTGTTTTGCAAATGGATTTTAACCCTCTGCTCCCATTTGTAAGTGAGCCTTCTCCTCATTAAGGGGAAGCTGCTTGGACAATAATGGAAGTATTTCTACCTTCCTCCAGGGGCACTTCTGTAAGGGGCTCTTCTATGCAGGGCAGCATTTTCAGACTTGCCTTTTCGTACCTAAGAGAACAGGAAAAAAATCAATTTACAACTCTTAAGAGGTCAGTTGGGCTCACAGAACTTTAGGGAGGTAAATTATGTGTGGGGCTCCCAAGGGCCTGATAAGGGGACCCAGAGTGTTGCAAAGTCAAGCTTTCTGTTTTCAATACCCTGTGGACTTAGTCAGGCCAGTTGTCCTAGTTACTTTGTCATCACTGAGACACAATACCCAAAACTCACAACTTAAAGGAAGAAAGGTTTATTTTGGCTCACAGTTTGTAGAGGTTCCAGTCCATAATCTGCTGTCTCCAAGGTAGAGCAGCATGGCAGAGGGGCCTGGAGCAGGAGAAACAGTCCATGGCAGGGCAGACAGGAAGCAGAGATCAAAGGAGAAGGAGGGAGATAAACTCCTCCAGGCCACACCCCCACTGGCCTACCTCTTCCAATCAGGTTCCATCCCCCAAATCCCATTTAGTTATAAACTTGTCGGTGGACTAATCCACTGGTGAATAGCACACCCCCATGATCCAGTCACCTTCCAAAAGACCCATCTTTGTGCATATGAGGTTTTGGGGACAACTAGATATAAACTGAAACACCAATATTGTAGCAACAAACCACACATTGTTTTAAATACTTTGAGCAAAAGGTTATTCACTATGATACAAATCTATATCTACAAGAGAGTCCCTAGGGCTTTTATAGCTTTACAAAGAATGGTGACAATGTGCACAATGACAATGAAAAGTGCTCTCAATGTTATTTCAGCAATAGCATTACATAAAAAGGGCTTTCCTACTCATGTGTATGGCTAATCTCTTAATTTTCTCAACCTTATGTGAAAGATAGAATTGTCATCTGAATTTTAGTAGGGAGGAAGCTGATGCCCGGTGATGTGAACTTGTGTCTCACAAGTCATAATAGCTACGGAGAGGATTTGAATCTAGAGCTCTTCAGCTTACATAATATATCTATACATTCAGTGGCTCCTGCAGTTTACCAGATCCCAGAGCTCTTATACATCAAGTCTCTTGAATATGAATGTGTTTCATGCAGGATCTGTTTATTCAATTTATAGATGGAGCAACTTAGCCACATCAGGATCTGCACACATAAGCACAGGTATTGTTACAATTCCAATGATGTCAAAATGATTATCACCTTCCTTCCTTTTCTGTATGGCATCTGTTATCACATTTCTACTCAGCCCTCACCATGTGGGCTCAATACTCATAATGCAATTTGATTATGGACAGAGAGGAAATATTTAGTAATTATGTCAGATTCCTGCATCACGCTCTTCATTTTCTCATAAACATAGTTTAATTCAAGATGGGAAGTTGATTCACCCTTTGATACAACAAGCCCCAGCTCTTTGTCCTGCTCAAATAAATGTTAATACAACAAGCACCATCAGGTGACAATAAAAACAGGTGCTGATGACTTAGATGAGAATAAAACCCAGACAGACAAGAAATTCCCAGAAGCTCTCCTGTACTTGATGTGAAGATGCATAATATCAACTTCATGGAAATAAAAGTTTAAGGCTGTAAATAACCACCTTGCACAATGTGTGATTTCCACATTAGCTTGACTGAGGTGTGTTCAAACGTGTTTATGAACTGGCATTTTCTCTTGTGATGGTCCTCACAGTTGTTTCTCCAAGCACTCTGCAGGAAGTTAAATTAGCATGGGCTGAAACAAGAATCTGAGCCTTCACAGGCACATCATCTCCAGAAGCACCCCCATGACAATACGTGAGCATTCAGAAACAGCCACCCTCAGAGACAAGCCCCCTTCCTAGGAGCTAACGTGCCAGGTGAGACGACAGGACAGGGAAGGGCCTGTGCCCCACGCCATCACTGCATCTGGGTCTGTAAACGCTGCTCATGTTGTGCCAAATGCTTCTGTGGGCCTCTGAGCTTCTCCACCCTCCTTTACTAAACATACAGGAGCACTTGGCTCCTCCTCCTGCTTCCTTTCTCCCTTCTACTTGTGTGATATCTATCGAGGTGAACTAAGTAACAATACTATGCTGGGCACATTTGAGGTGAACTAAGCAGCAAGTACTGTGGTAGGCATTGCATGTCAAGAGTTAAGTAAAAGCAGAGCTCACCCACCCACCCCGATGGAGGCTGCAGTCCAGTGTTGGAAACAGGTGAGAAGCAATCAATCAGCAGCCTCAGGTGAAACAACAAACTCTCGGGACACAGGAGGACCCTGCAGTGTTCTAAGAGGCCCTGAATGACCACAGCCTTCCCAGAGGCCAGGGGTCCAGCTGAGCTCTGGGAGGGGACAGTGCCCAATCAGTTGGAGAGGAGAGGGACTGGCTTCCGTGGCAAGGGCCATGTGTCCCCAGGCCTTGTGGGGAGGAGCCTTACTTGTCTGAGGAACAAAAGGAAATTTCAGCTGTTGCACCACAGAGACCAAAGGTGGATTCACCACGAAGCCCATGAAATGCCCAGTTCAGCCCCTACCCCTTGCTAAAGACCCTTCTAAAGCTCTGAACCTAAGTATGTGCTTTGTAATTTCCTGGGCCCCTACTGTTGTTCTCTCCATCCTCTTTCCTCTCTCCCTTTCTTCCTTCCTCCCTTCTTTCCCTCCTTTCTTCCTTTCTTTCTTCTTGCTTTTCTCCTTCCTTCATTCCTTCCTTCCTTTTTAGAAATTGGAGACCATCGAAGAGTAATTTGGCAATGGATCACCATAAGATGACTTTTAATGTTCTTGTTTCAATTGTGCCAAGATCCATGCCACATAGAATGTCACCATCCGAACCATTTTAAGGTGTATGATTCCACAGCATTGAGTGCGCAGGTCCCCAGTGCTCTCCACCCAATCATCCTCCATCTCCACAACCTTGCAAAAGTACAATTCTACATCACCTGGAAAGCACCACCCCACTTTCTTTCCTGTTCCCTGTAACCACCAGTCCACTTCTCCAGCTCTTTCTCAGAAGTGAATCACAATGTTTGCCTTCTGTGGCTGGTTCATTCCACTCAGTATCCCAGCCCAAGGCTCATCCATGCTGCAGCAAGGCCAAGCTGGGTGGATGGACCTCAACCTCACCACTGTGTGGAGGAAACCTGGTGCTCAGCCAGGGTCCCCAGTTCCTTGAACTGCACGGTCTCCCACCCGCATCTCTCCATCCTCACCTCCCTCGCCCTCCACGTTCTCCACCCCTTGGCCCAGGAGAGCCAGGCCCTGCTGAGCTGCACCACGGACCCTCCTGTCTCCCTTCCTCAGCCTCGTGGCCAGTCAGCACCGATCCCACCGAGAAGCTTCCAGCCCCAAAGC